CGTCTCTCTCTCTCTCTCTCTTTCACTCTGTTTCTCACTCTCTGCTCCTCTGTTTCTTTCTCCCTCCCTCTCTCTGTTTCTCCCTCCCTCTCTCTGTTTCTCTCCCTCTCTGTTTCTCTCTCTGTTTCTCTTTCCCTCTCTGTTTCTCTCTATCTCTGTTTCTCTCTCTCTGTTTCTCCTTCCCTCTGTTTCTCTCTCTGTTTCACTCTCTGTGTGTTTCTCTCTCTCTGTTTCTCTCTCCCACTCTCTCTGTTTCTCTCTCTCTCTGTTTCTCTCTCTCAGTTTCTCTCTCTGTGTGTTTCTCTTTCTGTTTCTCTCTCCCCCCTTTCTATTTCTCTCTCTGTTTCTCCTTCCCTCTGTTTCTCTCTCTGTTTCACTCTCTGTGTGTTTCTCTCTCTCTGTTTCTCTCTCCCACTCTCTCTGTTTCTCTCTCTCTCTGTTTCTCTCTCTCAGTTTCACTCTCTGTGTGTTTCTCTTTCTGTTTCTCTCTCCCCCCTTTCTATTTCTCTCTCTGTTTCTCCTTCCCTCTTTCTCTCTCCCTCTCTGTTTCTCTCTCTCTCTGTTTCTCTCTCTCTTTCTGTCTTTCTGTTTCTCTGTTTCTCCCCCCTCTCTTTCTCTTTTTTCTCCCCCTCTCTCTGTTTCTCCCTCCCTCTCTCTTTCTCTCCCTGTCTCTCTGTTTCCTTCTCTCTCTCTCGCGCGTGCACACACACACAAACACACATTCATAAGAGATCAGAGAACTCAATAAATTTTGGGGTGAGCAGGGCAAAGTCAAGGATCTACACAAAACATCAAATTCTAGGAGCAAATACACAACAGCTGACAAGAAAAGCAGGTGAGAGCTGTCTGTAATTCAGAATGGTATGCCAACTAGCCATTGCCTGTAACAGGCCATACTAGCATTTTAGCAGGTAAATGAACGGATATATTGCCATGCCAATACCCACCATTTTAACTCTCAAAGTGGTTTTACACCATTAAACCTACCAAATAGAAATGACAAGTTAAAACAAGATAAAATGGAATAAAAGTGGCACGTTCAACTGAAAAAGTGAAAGAAATGAGTGAAAGAAAAAGGAAGAATAATAATGCACACCCTGTGATATATTAAATAAGGGCTGGGATCAGCGGTGAAATGCTACTGGTTCGCCCAAAGCGGTAGTAGAAAATGCTACCATTGGAGCAAACTGATAGTCTGACGATCAGCTGTGTCACACATTTAAAAATCATGCAGCACAGCTGATTTTTGCACAGCTGATCATTGGAATTACCAGTTCGCCTGAATTGGTAGCTCCGATGAAGAGCTGTGTTGGCGCGCATGCACACAAAGTGAACCAGTAGCAGACCTCAGAACATTTCACCCCTGGCTGGAATTCAACTGCACAGCCACAAATCTTACACAATACACAATACAATAGCAGAGTTATCCAACATCTTCTTAAAGACTGCCAGTGTTGCGGCATCCACAACCTCTGGAGGCAAGCAGTTCCACTGATTAATTGTTCTAACTGTCAGAAAATTTCTCCTTAGTTCTAAGTTGCTTCTCTCCTTGATTAGTTTCCACCCATTGCTTCTTCTTTTACACTAAGGTGCTTTGGAGAATAGTTTGACTCCCTCTTCTTGGTGGCAACCCCTGAGATATTGGAACACTGCTATTATGTCTCCCCTAGACAATCCCCTACACAACACATAGACAATCTCCCCTACACAGTCACAAATCCTACACAACATATTCAGATACTCGTAACTGAGGCGTTTGCACTGTTGCTGTTGATCATTTCATCTTCTGGTTACTGGGAAAAAGAGATTTTGAAAAAATTGGATTGACAGGTTAGAAAAATCTCTGGGAAAGGACTCAGAGGAGTAATTTGGGCTAAACTGTAATCAGAAAGATATTAAATGTATGTTGCTCAACCACCTGGTAACCTTCTTGTGCTTACAAAACACAATATTCAGTCCATACAGTCTTTCCTCAATTAAAAACCAAGATGGAAAGAGAAGCTTTTAAAATAAGGATTTGCATCTTTGTTGTTGTTGTTAATTTCTGAAACCCTTCCAAGTAGAAATAACTGAAACTGCCCCTTTGGAGAAATATCCAGCATAATCACCCATTCTTCTTTTTTTGCCCTTCCCATCCTGGCCTCATTCCCTCACTCGCAATTTCATCTTTTGGAATGCAACCTGATTTTGACATCACAGCCATTGTGATTTCTGTGACAATATCACAGACCGAAGTACCCCCGGCATAGCCCTGGCAGTCAACTGAACCAGACAAAAATATAAGGGTGTACAAAGGAGAGGTCAGGGAAAGACGGAGAAGAAAGGGGAAAGGATACTTAAAAAAAAAGAAAAAAAGAAACAAGACTAAGGGGGAGGAAAGAATGAAATAGCATCAATGCATCACAAGAACCCCGGAAATTGAGGATTGAGAGCAAGAAAAGCATGGGTTTTTTTTTCCAAATGGAAGATTGATTCTTAGAAACAAGGAACATATTTGACAGAGAAAAGGTTGATTGAGTGAATTGCCTGTAGAACAGGAGTGTCAAATGCAAGGCCCAGGGACTGGATCTGACCCACGGGGTGCTTAGATTTGGCTTGGCAGGGGAGGCATCCTGGAAACAGCAAATAACCAACCCATGGTGTCTCTGCCATAGAAAATGGAGCACGTGCGGCCCTCTCCGTTTTCAGTGGCAGAGGGCTGCAGGAGGCTATCGCAGCCAAAAACGGCGCTCGGGAGTCCGTTTTTGCTGGCAGAATGCTCAGGTCTCCACAGGTGCCCCCAACATGATTGACGTTGCCGAACCTTTCTGATTGACAAGCTCAGCGTCTCAGCCACTGAGCCACCGTGTCGCTTAAGGGAAGGATACCCTTCATTAAAGATTAGGAGTTTTTAAAGTTTTTGATACTGTATATCTAGAAGCTCGATCCATATTGTGTAGAATTGAGAAATGGGGGTATTTAAAAAAAGAAGTGGAATTTTGTTTTTTTTAAAAATCCATCACATTTAACGTTGCCCCGGGAAAGCTTTCTATTTTCAACTCCTTTTGTGAAACATAAATGGATAAAATGTTCCGTGTTTGACGGGCTATCAGCTAATAGTCCTTGACTGTAGGAAGTTGAAGGCATTATTTAGAAAGAAGGAAAAACACAGAGAGATGAAAATAAAACAAGAGTTCACTGTGATATTTCAAACTCTTTTGGAGACACATTCCTTCCCCTTCTATTCTTCATTCTAATATCTATTCTATTCTTCATTCCAATATTTATTCTATTCTATTATATTCTTCATTCCAATATTCTATTCTATTCTATTCTATTCTATTCTACTCTACTCTACTCCACTCCACTCCACACCACACCACTCCACTCCACTCCACTCCACTCCACTCCCTTCCATTCTATTCTTCGTTCCAATATTTATTCCATTCCATTTCATTCTATTCTATTCTTCATTCCAATATTTATTCTATTCTATTCTTCATTCCAATATTTATCCTATCCTATACTTCTGATGAGCAAAGTCAATGGGAAAGCCAGATTCACTTAACAACCATGTTACTAACTTCACAACTGCAATGATTCACTTAACAACGGTGACAAGGAAGGTTGTAAAATGGGGCAAAACTCACTTAACAACTGTCTCACTTAGCCACTGACAATTTTGGGCTTGGTTACAGTTGTAAGGCAAGGGCTACCTATATTACAACAGCCAGATCTACAATCTTACCTCAAAGTCCTCATAATTTTATTTAATGCACATCCTTATTAACACTTTTCACTTTAGAATAACTTTATTGTCACTTTGAAGGTACACTAATCGGCATGCATTAAAGTGAAATTTCATTGCATTCAGCTCTCAAAGGGTCTCCACCTCCAATATACACCACATAAACATGGCAAAATAAATAAACAAACAAAAATATTTTTTTTAAAAATATGCAGCTATCCACATGCATTATATGGCACGGAGAAACAACATTCAGGTGTACATGGCGAGAGAAATGAATCTTGCGAGATTACAAGACAGATGGATTAAGGAGCAAAGTTGTTACATTGTTTAGTAGTCCTACTATAAATACTTTGAAACCTCATCCCAGAGGGGAGCAACAGAAACAGACCATGGAGTGGGTGTGTTGGGGTCCCTAACAATGCTTTGAGCTCTAAGCACATAGTGCTAATAAGCAGTATCCTGAATGATAGGAAGCAAGCTTCCTATAATCTTCTCCACTGTCCTCACCACTCTCTGTAGGGATTTTCTATCTGAGGTGCTGCTGCCACCAAACAAACAGGGATGTAGTTTGTTAAAACACTCTCAATCATGCCTCTATAAAAAGTGGCCAGGACAGAAGGAGAAAGATGTGCTCTCCTCATCCTCCTCATTTCAAAGGGCAGTTCAAAGAGGACAGAATATCTTGATCAGATTGGAATTAACTGTAGGGGTGATGATCTATTATGAAGCTTGTTTTCTTTTCATCTACATTTTTTTGATAGAGACAAATCTGTATCAACATACAATCTACACAGTCAAGTTCTCTTCTTCAATTTTACCTTATACTATTTGATCTTACTTCACTTTTATCTTGCCTACTATATTTTATTCTATTTTATCTCATACCTTGGTTATTTTATCTAACTTTATTGTATCTTATCTCACTTTATTGTATTTTAGTGTGGTCAGTGCTCATGTTTGAGATGGCCCATTGACTAATTCATGTCAAGGTACTGAGCTACCAGCTGGTGAAAGGTTGTAAGCTGTAATCAGCAAGGTTGATGCAATGAGGCTGATTCAATCTGACAATCCATAAAGTACATCATATTGTATTTTGATCCGGTCACTCAACAGGCACGGTGATAGCCCACCATTAACACAAGGAGTCATCTCAATGGCTGCTCAGGTGTGCCAATTCATTCCTGGTTTTAAATTTTTGGATGGGTGCCCGCCCAAAGAATATCATCACTTTCATTCACCCAATGACTTTGAAGATGATTATTTGAGAAGACTAAAATCTCTTACCTCTTACCTCGCCTAGGTCCAATGTCTTCCCTAGCTGCTCTAGCAGATCAGCCCTGGCTGCGTTCTTTTTGTGCTTTTTTCCGTCATAGTGTTGCTGTGCCATCATTGGGTTGTTAAACCAAGCTGCACAGAGCTGGCAATACCTGTCAGAATCTCTTCTCTGATGGGGTGGAGACACTGCTGGAGAGCTGTCCACCTGTGGCTCCTTAAGAGAACTCAGGTTTGTTTCTGCAAAAGAAAGCAAGCAGAAATGGAGTCACACAGGTTCCTATCCCATCACGGAGAAATAAAGCTCCCAGTACACATCTAATTGTCATAGCTTGGGTGCCAGGATATAAAAAAAGAGGTTCAGATTCTAGAAAGATTGCAGAGAAGAGCAACAGAGATAATTAGGGGACTGGAGACTAAAACATATGAAGAACGGTTGCAGAAATTGGGTATGTCTAACTGAATAGAAAGAATGATTAGGAGTGACATGATAGCAGACTTACAATATGTATGCCACAAAGAAGAGGGAGTCAAGCTATTCTCCAAAGCACCTGAGGGTAGGACAGGCAGAAATGGGTGGAAACTAATCAAGGAGAGGACCAATTGAGAATTAAGGAGTAATTTCTTAACAGAGCAATTATTCAGTGGAACAACTTGCCTCCAGAGGTTGTGAGTGCTCCATCATTGGAGGTTTTAAAGAAGAGATTGGACAACCATTTGTCTGAAATGTTATAGGGTTTCGTGGCTGAGCAGGGAATTGGACTAGAAGACCTCCAAGGTCCCTTCCAATTCTGTTATTCTGCTATATGAACTGTGTAGCCAGTGGGTATTCTTCTTTCCATAGTTGCAGAGGAGATACTTAATATGAGAGAATGTAATTAGTTCAATGGAGTAATGTCGTGGCCCAGAGTTGGAGCTCTCGCCTCACAATCAGGCGGCTGTGAGTTCAATCCTAGCCAGAGGCAGATATTTTTCTCTCTGGGCACAATGAGAATATATCTGCTGAACAAAACTTTGCATTGACAACATGAAGGGCATCCAGCCATTAAAACATTCCGCTAGCTCCATTCAGTTGCCCAGACTCCACCCACCCACCCCAAGAGATTATGGGGTCATTAAAAGATGATGAATGTAATTACTTCAATGAAAAAAAAACTTGTGATAATAGATAATTACAGATTTTTTTTTTGTGGGATGCATATTGGAATACTAAAACATCTTAGAGATTTGATTTACAGGGACAGTTCAAGATGTAAACAAGAGAGTTGTCTTAAGGCAATTCATGTTCCAACATAAGGCTTATAAGCATCTAGAACATTAATATGGATAGTTTAAACCTGACCTGGGCCCAGAAGTGCAACAGAAAGAGGATTCTGCTTTCATGTTTTATCACACAAAAATGGAAGGTCAGCATCTCGTTACTTATGCAAGATCTCAAAACCCCAGAGCCTTCATACTGTTATTTTGATGTCAAGGACCAAAAATGCATTTACCTAACTCAATTGATCTGTAATCAAGTAGTACCTAAACTGAATTCAATAAATCAATACCTAATAAACCCTCTGTCAAGCATAAGAAATCAGGAGTCCAGGCAAGGGTGGGCTTCAGCAATTTTAACAAGGGGTTTGCTGCCTAGTTGCTGGATGGACGTGGGCATGGTGGGCATGACCTAGTCAGCCTACTGCACCATGGCAGGAAGGGACATTTTTGCCCTCCCTGGGCTCTAGTGGCTTTCCTTGAGCCTCTGGGAGGGCGAAAATGGCCTCCCCAGGCTCCAGAGGCCCTCTGGAGGCCAGAAACAGGCCCATTCCTGGTCTTCTTGAACTTCCCGTAGGCCCATTTTTTTTGCCCTCCCCGAGCTTCTGTGCATGCCCTGCACTTACTGCATCCAAAATGGGCCATGTGGGGACTCCTGGGAGGGGCAGAGTGAGATGTGTGGGGCCAACCAGGAGTGGGTTTTGAGGGTTCTCCAAACTGTATAGAATCTTAGCTAGAGATTCTCCTGAACCCCTGGGAACCCCCAGCAGCCCACCCCTGGGTCCAGGCACTTCAAATGAATATAGCAATAGTACTTAGACTTATATACCGCTTTACAGTCCTCTCTAAGCAGTTTACAGAGTCTTGCCCTCAACAATCTGGGTCCTCATTTTACTGACCTTGGAAGGATGGAAATCTGAGTCAACCTTGAGCCTGGTGGGATTCGAACTGCCAAATTGCAGTCAGCAGAAGTAGCCTGTAGTACTGCACTCTAACCACTGTGCCACCAAGGCTTATACAGGTTTATTGCATGCTAATATTCTCCACAAGAATCTTAACTATTAACGGTCAAAGCAAATTGGCAGTAGATAAGAATCAACGGAATTCAAGGTGGGCTGGACTTCGATCCCTTGTGGGAACAAAGGGACGTGAGGCTGATGATGCGTTTGACCCCACCCTCGGGTTCAGCCTGGTCAACACCCTCATTTCAGCATGGAGCTGCAAATAAATACAGAACAATAAAAGATGAACTAGACATCTCTATGTGTGATGGCCTAAAGATGGAGCTTTTGCCTCACAATCAGGAGACTGTGAGTTTGATGCTAGGTAGCAGACGATCTTTCTCTGGGCGCAAAGAGAAAATATCTGTTATGAGCTCCCTGTAGGTGTCAGGAAGGGCATCTGGCCAGTAAATGCTCAGCTCTATGCAGTCACCCCAACTCCATCCCAATGCAAGGGATTACAGGGTCGGTAAAAGAAAAGAAAAAAAAGAACTAGACTAAATCAGTTGAACAGCTCACCTAACCCTACCATCCATTTTCTTTATTTGCTAAAAAGAGATCCTTGGACAGTCTAAAGGTAAAGGTTCTCCTCGCACATATGTGCTAGCCATTCCTGACTCTAGGGGGCAGTGTTCATCTCTGTTTCAAAGCCGAAGAGTCAGCGCTGTCTGAAGACGTCTCCGTGGTCATGTGGCTGGCAGGACTAAACCCCAAAGGGGCACAGAACGCTGTTACCTTCCCACCAAAGGTGGTTCCTATTTTTCTACTTGCATTTTTACATGCTTTTGAACTGCTAGGTTGTCAGAAGCTGGGACAGGTAACGGGAGCTCGCTCTGTTACGTGGTGCAAGGGATTCGAACCATCAAACTTCCGACCTTTCTGATCGACAAGCTAAGTGTCTTAGCCGCTGAGCCACCTTTTGGACAGCCTAGAGATCAGCTATTAACTTGGTAGCATCCTCCAGCTCATGTTTCTCAACTATTAATAGCCTAGGCCAGTGTTTCTCAAACTTGGCACCTTTAAGACGTGTGGACTTCAACTCTTTAGAAAGTAGTTTATTTCATAAACCTTGTTTAAGCTAACAATGCATAAGCATGCCATGTGCAGACTTCACCAAAATGGAGGATTTCCCCCTCCCCTTTATAAAGCTACATCTCCATCAAGTTGTGAAACGTGTAGATTTGGATAAGGGGAACATGGATTTATCTTCTTAAAAAGAGATTTAAAAACCTGTTGTCATATGTCAACTTTCCTAAAATATGGGTGGTCTATATACCACATCCTCAAATGACTAACATACTTTCCCCAATAAATCTGAAGGCTTCTGGGGTACTTGAGGTTCTACAGGGAGGGTTTTTGGAATGAAAAAAAAACCACCAATTTTTGTTCTAATGCAGTGTTTCTCAACCTTGGCAACTTGAAGATGTCCGGACTTCAACTCCCAGAATTCCCCAGCCAGCATTCGCTGGCTGGGGAATTCTG